CGGGGAGCTCCTTGCCGTCCGGCTCACCTCCTGCTCTGCGGGATTCTGTGGTGCTGAATATTTTCTTCCCCACTCCCCGTTCTCCATCCTCCTCGCCCACACTCGCGACTCCTGAATGGGGGCGTTTAGCAGGAGCAGCAGGCTCCAGTGTAAATAAGAGGTTTTCAGAGAGTGCAGCTGGGCCTGCCAGGAGGCACGGGGGCCGCGGAGGCTGGGTCCCGCTAGCCGACTGCGTGGCTTGAGTCTCCGATCTAAAGGCTGGGCCAAAAAACTGACTGCTTTTTAACTGGGCCTTTGGGAAAGTCATGACACATTTTTGCATAGCAGAGCACCTGGCTACCTAATAACTAGAGGAGCCATTCTTCAGGCAGCTTTTTTATTTGAATGGCGGAGTCCCACACTGGGAGGGGTGTTCGTTGAGACAGATGAGGGCCCAGCCCCGCAGTTACAGGCAAGCTGCCGGTGCCTCCTGGAGCAGGTCTGGGCAGGTGTGGCCCCGGAGGGCTGCTCGGACTGTCCAGGCGGCTCCGCGTGGCCCCGCTCCGAGCAGGCGCCGAGCGTCCTTGGTTCTGCACGTATCGGTGTTCGAAATTCAGGCCTGAAGTTGGGGTAAAGCGTCAGCGGGTGTGTGGGGGTTAATGGGGTCGGATGAATGGCCCAGAGCGCTGTGGACTCAGGAGAGAGCCCGAGGAAGGAGGGCTGGGGAAGACGGTGGAGGGTGTTAATCTGGCCGGAAGGCGAGAGGCCAGAGGGAGCTCAGCAGGGCAGAGTAGGTGAGTACTTTGGCAGTGTGGACTCATCGTCTCTCAATGGAGAGAAAGTGAAAGTCAGGTTGAGGACTTTCAGGGGAGAGTGTCAGGCCAGGACGCGGAGGCAGGGGCTTACACTGAGTGTTCGAGGTCACCGCAGCGAGCCTGTGCTTGGGAGGGCCGTTCGGGCAGTTCTCCTGGGCCCCGTTTGGAGTGACTCTGGGGGCTGTGTCGAACGTTCTCCCCTGAACGTTATTGAAATTCAGTTGCAGACGTTTGTGATTATCTGTATTGCTAACGGGCTACAGCCTGTCACACGCTTCTCCTGCCTGGCGACACCTGTCACAGCTCGTGACAGTTCCGTGGTCGTCAGTGGCTCTCCTGAGACTCAGACCGTGCAGGCCTAGGTGCTGGCGGGTCCCTGGTTCCTAACACAAGGCCTCGCCTTGCGCTCAGTGTTGGTTATGCGACTGACTGAAAAATAAACTAGTAAATATCAGTTTTTGGTGGTCTCACAGAATTAATAAAGTAGAATGTTTGAAGAAAGAATGACTGATAAACAGTGTCAGTGGCAAAAAGCGATACAAGTGGCAGTCTGATAAGGATTGAAAACTGACCTTTGATCATCTGAAGGTCGCTGGCTTCCATAATGCAAAGCATTTCAGCAAACCTGTTGGAATAGAAGCCACGCGTGAGTGAGCTGAGTAAGTGTGAAGTGAGGACAAAGAAACAAAATAGGAGACGTTTTTCACTGGGTTTTGTCTGAAAGGTTTGGGACTCAAGGGAGGAAACCACTGCAGAAGAAACGCAAAGGTTCAAGAACTGGTTACCATGGCACTGGGCTGCGTCTGGCTCGTGCGTGCCCACGGAGTCCCACTGACACGCTGGGTTCCTGTTTCTTCCTTTTCCTCCTGGTTTTGGTCCAGTCCAGTAATTTTGAACTTGGAGGTTTTTGCTGTGCTATCTGGGGCCCCCTCGTGGTGAAGATAATGGTGACATGTAAGGAGTGCTATTCCATGTGCAGGCCTTGCTTCCTGTGAGGCTCAAGTGTGGGTGACATGTGGTTGCAGTTACAGTGGCCCTTAGTCTTCCTCTGGTTTGCAGCGGGCCAGGATGCGACACCCAAGTTACTGAATTCCGTGTCCCGAGTATCAGCACTGCTGTAGAGTACGCGTTGCGGGATGGCCGTTTTAGAGTGCGAGGTCTGCCGGCTGCATTGTCGTCCCTGCCCGGATACTGCAGTGCCGGATACGGGGCCATTGCTACGTCGCTGCTGGAATATTATGCTTGATTTGGAGATGATGAAAGAAAAGCATGAATTTCCAAACACGTGAAGATTTGGTTATGAAGATCATAGCTCTCGTCATATGAGGTCACTGAGAAATCAGGATGTGTTTTTCTATCCCAGCATGTGCTGGGACTTTCCTGATGCCCCAGTGCACTCACTGCTCATAGTAAAAACTTTCACTTTAGTTGGATGTAGGGCGCATGTGCCTGCCAGGGGCAGAGAGGAAAATGAGAAATCACCCTGTGGGGGAATGGCCACCCCACAATCCCATCTACTTCATTCTCCTCATGGAATTTTGGGCATGTACATTCATGTCCTTGGTGTGATTTTCAAGCTGCTGGGTCTGGGATTTGAACCGTGCAGCTGGCCATATGGATCTAGCCGTTTAATTTCCATGCCACCTGCTGGCCCCATCATAATAAAGCTTTTAAAATATATGTTTTTAAAAACCTATAATTTTTGACTTGTAGATGGTGTAATAGTTATATTGCTGGGCTCCTATGTAGTTGACAGTGGTTCGAGTCCCAGACCTGGTGACTTAAGCCTCACACTGGGTATGTGTGCCTGCGTGCCCAAGATCTTGAGAGGAGAATGGAGGAGACGGGATGGTGGTGTGGCCATCCCCTCTGGGGTGATTTCTTGCTCTCAGTCTCTCTCTCTCAGGCTAGCACATGCACCCCATAGCAAAAATCTCTCTAAAAAGGAACCCACAAAAATATCCATACTCTTACCTCTCAGTTTTTTTCCCTTAGGATTTTTGAATGTTACAAAATCTTTCTGTCTGTCTGTCTGTCTGTCTCTCTCTCTTTCTTTTTTTTGGAGAGTTTTTGCTGTAGGGTGTGTGCACTCACCAGAAAGACAGAGCGAGAGTGAGATAGACAGAAAGCGAGAAATCACCCCCCAGGGGGGATGGCCACGCCGCAGTCCCTTCTCCTCCATTCTCCTCTCGGGATCTTGGGCACGCACACACATGCGCCCAGCGTGAGGTTTAAGTCACTGGGTACAGGACTTGAATTGCGGTTGACTACATGGGAGTCCAGCGACATAGCCATTACACCAACTGCTGGTCCCTGTTACAAAATCTTTCTGAATGATATAAAGCACCACTCTGTAATCACATGTAGTGAAACAGCTCGTTCGGGTAGTTAAAGCCCTCATGGACCTTTTACATTTCATGTCACCATTCTACCCTGCACAGGTGACCATGGCCCCACGTAGGGTGTTTTATCTTTGGGTATATTTAAAATTCGCTATGTTGACGCCTCGAGTTGCATATTTTTCAAAGTGGATTTTTTGTGTAAAATTATGTTTGTAAGATACCTAGATGTAGCACTTATTTTTGCTGCCATATAGTAATTCCTTCTTGAATAATCTGATTTATCCATTCTCTCCTTTTTTAAAAATAATTTTTTATTTAATTTTACTTATTGTTAATATTATTTTTTTAGTTGGCACATGTGCTCACCAGAGAGAGAAAGAGAACTACCAGGTCTGGGAGTCGAAACGTGGTCATTCATGTGGGAGGCCAGTGCCCCAACCACCATGCACTGGCTGGTCCCTCCATTCTCTTTATGGAATTGTAGGTTTTTAACAGTTGGGGTCCAGCTGGTGGCATAGTGGTTAAGGCAACTGGATCCCACATGACAGAACCACATGTGTAGTTCGAGTCCCAGCCCTGGTAGCTGGAAAAACATTGAAATCAATGTGTTTTTATAATATACCTTTTCAATGAACTGTTTGAAGACTCAAGTGCCATGGTTAATGAAAAAAAAAGTTTTAATTTTAAAGAATTGCTCTTTTATCCAGATATTGCAAAGTTATTGTTATTATTTCACATATGTTTTAGAGAAGGTTGAAATACAGAACCTGGAGTTGGCAGGTGGTGCAGTGGTTAAGGTGCTCGACTCCCATGTGGGTGACCGTGTTTCGCGTCCCAGACCTGGTGGCTTGGAGATCGTGCCAGGTGCATTGTGTGTGTGCCCAAAATCCTGGGAGAAGGGATTGCAATGTGGCCATCCCCCCTGGGGGTGACTTCTCACTTTCCCTCTCTCTGTCTCTCTCTGGCGAGAGCACGCACACTCTATGGCAAAAACTTAAAAAAAAAAAAAAGAAAAATGTAAAAGACAATGGAGAACCTCTTAGTGGTTGGGCTGACAGACTGGAGTGAGAGAATAAATCGTCCCTTGTACATTTCGAAGAATGCCTCCATTTTTAATGTTCTCTGACCTCTGCTTTGGGCCTTCTATTTTGATTTGGGGTCTTGAGTTCAGAGTTGAAGGAAGGAGGCCCTAAGCTCACTGTGAAGATCTGTGGGGTAAAGCAGGTAGGTAAGTCAGTGAGGGTACACATTTCCCCTTCTTTACTATTTCTTAACTGCTAGAGGGTGTGTGTGTGTATGTGTGAGAGAGAGAGAGAGCGAGGGAGAGAGAGAGAGAGCGAGGGAGAGAGAACGCGCCCCTGGGGGGGCCCCAGCCTGCGGCCCCTTCCCCTCCTGCTGGCCATCCCATCAGGGTCCTGGGCATGTGTGCCTGTGCCTGGTGTGTTTTTCATGTGGCCGGGCCCAGAACCACTCCTGGCGACCCCGCGGCGTCCCGCTTCCTCTGCGGCACTTTCCCGTGTGCTGCTGGGCAGGCGTGTAACTTGTGTGACCGAGGCAGGTCTCTGGCGACGCGGGGGCTGAGTGCAGTGAGAGTGCTTTACCTGTTTACTCGGTACACTTAGCTTTATTTTCCTTAAAGACAGCCTTTAGGTGGACATCTTTGGTGAATATTTTGATTTCTCCTTACAATTTCTTGCATATTCACAAATTTTATAATTAAATGGAGTACTAACATAAATCACCTCCATTACTGTTTCTGATTCCTACTTTATATTACATTTTTGTTTAGTATGTTATTAAGTTGATATCAATATTTAAAAACCTACTGACAGAATGGTAATTCAGGTTTTCTTATTTTTATCAGAAACCATGAGTGGGGGAGCACGAGTCCACATTTTTTGGGGTGCTCCAGTGGGTCCCCTGGAAATGACGGTATCACAGGACACAACTTCTTTAATGTCGACCACCACGCCCTGGAAGGAAGCCCGGCTCCTGCGGGATGAGCATTCTGGACGCCTGAGGGATGGAGGTCTCTGGCATGGGGTCGCTGAGTCCCGTTGGGGCCCCGAAGCTGTCGGCCCGCCGGGTCTTCGTGAGCACTCGTTGTCACGCCGTGTGACTAGTCCTGCTCCCGTGAAGGACGACTTTGCACGTTCTGTTTCTGAAACGCAGGCGACAGTCCCCCAGCAGAGTCACCCCACGGGGCCGAGCCATGCAGCTGGCTCCACGGAGCAGACGGGCAGAGGTGAGGACGGAGCTGAGCCTGTCGGTGACGAAGGAACGCCCCCAAAGCTGCTCGGTGGACACAGGACAGCGGTGGGTGGGCCGCTCGAGGCTCGGGCAGGTACGTGTGGTCAGAGTTTGCAGACAGGCTCCTTCCCGTCGGGCCTGCCGTGTGCAGGTCTGCTGGATCTGGTCCGCGGCACTGAGCAGATTCACGTGGGCTCTGACCCAGTCCCGACCACGCGTGTGCCCGCAGAAAGTCACGCAATGCAAAGCCAGCATCCGCAGTTCCTGTCCTCCGACCCAGGAGACTTGCCCGAGGGGGAAGGAGCAGGCGGGCCGGGCTCAGGCCTCCGAGTTTCAGCCCACACGGAATTTCTCAGTGTGATGACTGCCAGCCAGGTTGCTTTTTTAGCTCAAAGGAAGGAGAAAGGACAGGCTTCTATAAATGAGGGGACCACGAGCGAGGAGGCCGGGCCAGAGGCAAGTCCTGGTGAAGTAACAGCAGTGGGAGCTCACTTGACCCCGCCTGACGGTTTTGCGGAAGGACATGGCAGTGATCAAACCCAGGTGTATTCCCTTGAACTTTTTAGTCCCATTTGTCCTGAAACAAGAAACTGCCCCATCCAGGCGCACCCTGGCCACAGCCCCGAAGGAACTGCAGCGTGTCCAGAACCCTTGGGCTCTGACGCCGAGTGGCCCCCAGAGGGGCTGCACATCAAGCTGTGCAGCGCAGGGGTGCTGTGCTCCCAGCCGGGACCTTCACCCAGGAGTGCTGGCAAAAGAAACCGGGCCCCTGACGATAACCGGGCCCATTCTGGAGCTCCATCTAAGGTTCTGCAAGTAGCTAAGAAGATGAGGCTGGTGTCTAAGCCGCGAGCCTCTGCCGGAGCACGGAGCCCGGGGGCCGCATCTGCACTGGAGGGGCTTAGGGAAACCTCGCTCATCAGAGACTGCGGTTCTGCAGGTCGCAAGTACAATTGTCTTGTCATGGTGCTGTCTCCGTGTCACGTGAAGGAAATACACATCAGATCGGGACCAAATGCTGGCACCAAAGTGCCGTTAGCAACCATCACGGTGATCGATCAGTCGGACAGGAAGAGAAGGGTGTGCCTGTGGAGGGCCGCGGCGTTCTGGGCACTGACCGTGTTTCTCGGTGACATAGTTCTACTCACAGGTGAGGCCGTTTGCTTTGCGACCGTGGTTGGCCTGTGGGTTTCTGTTCTCCTCGTTCTTCATGTCCTCGAGGACCATGTCTTTACCACGTGCCTCCTGGGGTGCAAGATCGACCCCGCAGGCCGCCGCGTCCTCTCCCTGCCCTGTCCTGCACGCCGTCTCAGGCGCTCCCTAGCCCCATTCGCCTTCTCCCTGGAAGCCTCCCCTGCCGCCCCTTCGGCTTTCCCCACGAGAGTCCGGACGCGCCACTGGGCCCCTTTCGTTCCTCAGGGTCTGGTCTGTGCGCGTCTTACCCTTAGCCCTTTTCTGTGGTGGTTCCATGGGAAAGGATAGCATTTCTGCTACTGCACCCGACCCTCGGTGACACTGTCACCTTACATTCTCAGCGAGGTGACAAATACAGATTTCTATTGTGGTTTTTTAAATTAACATTGTATTAATCATGTTTGGAAATCTGGAAAGAAAGGAAAAAATTTCTTGTGTCAGTTAGTCTCTGGCGGGAGAGGTCTGCACTAGGGAACGGCGGCGGCATCAGGCCAGTGGGCCCCCACCGAGGCACGGGGGAGGTGGGGAGCAGGTGTGGGCAGTGCTGCAGTGGGACGCCTGGGCGGGAGTGTCCAGGAGGCAGCTGTGGCTTTTATTAAAGGAGGCGTCACTGAGCAGAGGGTCTGGAGTATAGCTTGGGAGCAGTCACTAGGAATTTATGTGCCCCGTTTTATCTCCAAAGGACTTTGCTGCCGTTAACACCTCTTTCCACCTCTGGCACCGTGCACATGTACCCTGCCTGGGAGGCCTCCCTCTACAACTCACAGTTCTCGCTCTGCCTGGAACTGCTCCTACCTGGAGGCGTGCTTAGCTCCACCAAAGGTTTCTTCTCTGTCCCTCTTCGCCCCTTCACTCTCGTCCCCTTGGGGAAGTGTCCCTGCGCCCAGCGTCCTCACTTCCAGCATCTGTAGAAGATGCCGACCTGCGGCTCAGGGAAAGTGGTCAGTGCTGCGGGGTGTGTTCTTCGTGTCAGATCCAGCAGAGGGAGTGGGGTGTCCTGAATGCCGCTGCCCTTGTAGGGACTGCTGCTGTGGGCCACTGCACCGCTCCCTGCTCCTGACAGATTAGAGTGTGTCGGAAACGGCATCCAGCATTTGCCTATGTGAACGAGCGCCGCTCAGCCTCTCTCTGGACGGGAGCCTCGCCGTGGGTGTTGTTTGAACGTGCGGAGCGGTTTGCGTGTTCTACCTGTCTGTCCACGTACCTGGGTTCACACCTGGATTTGCTGTTTCACCATTTGGCGCCTTCAGGCAGAGCTGTGGTTGCCTGGCACGCGGAAGGCTGTGGACTGGTTTGCGGGGACTGGCACTCTGAGCACGGTGTGACGGCATGACCGAGACTCTCTTCCCTCTCCAGATGTCACCGTGCGTGAGGACCAGTGGGTTGGGGAGACGACACTGCAGTCAACACTTACCAGTCAGCTGCTGAATCTTGGCAACCCTTCGTCCATCCGACCTGGAGGATGTGAGTCCCGTTCTGAGTGTGAAAGTGTCTGAGCATTTAAAGCGTGTAAGCAGACTAGGAAGGGCAGAGTTAAAATGCTTTGAAAGCCTCTGCCTGTTGACAGGGTTTCCTAAACGGCTGGAGAGCACGCCTTGATGTTCTTGAGGAAGAACAAAGTCGATTTTAGGAGATGAGCTTGGACATTGTAATCACATTTGTTTTAAGAAGTGTTGGCAGGGCCAGCAGGCAGCGTGGTGGTTTAGGCGCTGGACTTCCACAGGGCCGAGCGCAGTTCCAGTCCTGGACTTGCTTTCTCATTTTCTCTCTCCCCCTCCCTGTCGCTCTCTAGTGAGCACACATTCCCTATAGCAAATTAAATAATAAACATAGTAGTAAGTAAAATGAAATAAATAAAAATAACTTTAAGAAAGAAATATTGGGGGAGCTCCCAGGAGCTGGTCACATGAAGGTACTGGGATGGGGAGGCTCCTGGGTGGGCCTGGGTGCTCCGTGCCATTTCTGCCATGCCTTGCCCAGCGTCTCTTCATCTGGCTCTTTAGCTGTGTGCTTTAAATATCATTTGTAGCCCAGCCAATGGCGTGGTGGTTAAGGTGGCTGGATCTTACATTGCCAACTGTGCAGCTCGAGTCTTAGACCAGGAGACTTGAAAAACATGGCAGGGTGGGACCAGCAGTTAGCGTAATGGCTATGTCGCTGGACTCCCATGTAGTTGACTGCGGTTAGCATCCCGGACCCGGTGACTTAAAACTCACGCCGGGCATGTGTGCGTGCGTGCACAAGTTACCGAGAAAAGAATGGAGGAGAAGGGATTGTGGTGTGGCCATCCCCCCATTTCTCGCTTTCTGTCTCTCTGTCTCTCTCTGTCTGTCTGGCGAGCGCATGTGCCCTATAGCGAAAACCTCTCCAAAAAAAAAACAAAAACGAAAACAAAAACCACGGCAGGGTGTGTGCGCATACATGGCCAAAATCCCGAGAGGAAAACGGAAAAGAAAGGATTTGTTGTGTGGCCATCCCTGTAGGGGTGCCTTCTTCCCTTCCCTCTCCCTCTCTCTTTTTCTCGCTGTCTCTGTCTCTCTTTGATGAGCACACATGCTTTATAGCCCAAAATAAATCTTTTTAGAGGTTTTTGCCATGAAGTATGTGTGCTCACCAGAGAGAGACAGAGACAATGAGAGAGAAAGTGAGAAATCACTCCCCAGAGGGGATGACCATGCCACAGTCCTTTCTCCATTCTCTCCCTTGGATCTCGGGTTCATGCACACACGAGCCCGGTGTGATTTTCAAGCCACTGGTCCAGGACTCACACCGCAGTTGGCCAAGTGGGAGTCCAGCGGCATAACCACTATGCCATCTCCTGGCCCCAGCAAAAGCTGTTTTTAAATGATAAATATGTAATTTGTGATAACCACTAATCTAGTACGCAAAGAAGGAGGAGGCATACCGAGGCTCGTATCTCATCTCAGCTTTCTCAGGCAGTCAGTATAATGGTGCTTCTCAGCCTTTCAGAGAGCCGTGGCCTTCGAGGAAGTGTGGGCCATCTCCCCAGAAGACTGGACTTACAGAGGCACACAGACCTTCCCTATAATTCTACGAAGTTCCTCTGGGATTTCCGAGCCTCCAGTTAAGAGCCGTCGGCACACAGGAAACCGCGGCTCCCGTACCCGTAGATACGGGAGTGAAGCGGGTGAAGCCCCGCTCTGCTGCTGCTCAGGGAGACCGGCCTTCCTCTGATGTTCGTTCTCTCATAAAATAAGTGTTGAGTGAAGAAACTGGCAGGTACCTTTTTCTCCAGGAAGTGATCAAACAGAACAGAGGAAACAGGATAGACTGGAAGTTATGGTCCTCGTAGGCAAATAGACCAGAACTAGAATCCTGGCCCTGGGGGCCAGCAAATGGCAGAGAGGTTTCGTGACTGGACTCCCACGTGGCCAACCGTGGTTTGAGGCCCCGACCCAGCGGCTTGAAACTCACACTGGGTGTGTGTGTGCTCGCCCAAAATCCCCAGGAGAATGGAGGAGAAGGGACTGTGGTGTGGGCATTCCCCCTTGGGGGAGGAGAGTGATCTCTCACTTTCCCTCTCACCGTCTCTTCTTTCTCTCCAGCAAGTGCGTGCGCTCTATGGCAAAAACCTCTCAAAAAAAGAAAGAAAGAATCCTGGCCCTAGAACTTTCAAAGTCTTTGTCTTTAGGCAAGTTATTAATCTTATGACATCTCTGTTTCATCCATGAAATGGAGATAAGAACACATATACGTCAGAGGGTCTCGTGAAGATGAAGCCAGAGGGTCAGTGTGAGGCTCGAAGCTGCAGGCTGTGTCTGAACAGCACGGGGCACCAGTGGGCGCCGTGACCCCCAGCAGGCTTCGGTAGGAGACTGGACCAGTGGAACAGGAAGCAGCCAGGGAGGCCTCCGTTCACACCAGGAGTCCCCTAGAGCCACAGGGGGTTATGACAGCTGCCGACCTTGGAGCATGGGACGCCAGCCTGTGGAGTGTCCAAGAAGGAGTAAGCAGGAGAGGTTAGCTGCAGCGAGGGCAGTGCTGTTTGGACAGGGCACGTTTCACTGCCTTCAGGTGGTGGTAGCGGAAAACGGCCGCTTTCTCAGAAAAGAGCAGGCACAGAGCGCGGCAGGGTCCAGGCTGTGCTCGCTGAGTGTCGGCGCGTCACTGCGCGGGGCGGGATGGCCCTGCCTCGAAGGAGCTCGCATTCTCATGTGGAGACAGACATGGGGGGTTGTGGGAGAGAGCGAGCAGACATGAAAGTAGAATGCGTGTAGACCTGGCCCGTGCACAGCAGACACGCTGCAGAGGGGCCGGGTCCCACATCTCACAGGTCCTGCCTCAGCTTCTTGAAAAGCTCTCCTGGCAAGCGCGTGCCCAGGTCCCGACAGGACAGAGAATCGGAGAAGGAGCTGCAGGTGACTAAGCTCTGCTGAGGGCGCTTTCCGTCTGTCCGTCCGCCTGTCTCATGCATGCTCGCTCTGGCATTAGAGAAACGTGTAGGTGATGGTGGGAGGAGCTGGCAGGGCTGAGTAGGGGTGCCGCTGCGGGGAGCGCCGGCCACAGTGGCGGCAGAGGTGGGCAGTCGTTAGGGTAGTTGAGGTGGAGAGGAGGTGAAGGGCAGTGTGGATCGAAGTGTATCTGAAAAGTGAGTTAGCAGGGTTTCCTGCGGGGTGGATGTGGGGTGTAGGGGGCGGCATCTGCCGCTGCAGGGCTTTCTGTCTAAGCACCCGGGAAAGACGAGCGGGAGCAGGTTCGTGTGCAAGGTTCAGGGCTCTGTCGGGGCCTGGAAGGCTTCGACGTCTTTGGGCATCTGCGTGGAGGTGCAGGTCGGAGTGGGAGCCAAGGCCAGGACTCAGAGGGCGGGTTTAAGGTTCGAATATACATTTCAGAATTGTTAGCACACAAATAATATTCCTTTATTTTGTTATTTACCCAAAAGTATTAATTTTGAAATATTTTCTATGAAAGTATGGACTCACAGGGGGCTGCAAAAGGAGTACATGAGTTTGCGGGCCCCTCACCCCGCGTTCGCCGAAGGTGGGTGACACCTAGCCCTCGTACACTTCAGGAGGTGCCAGAAATCGACACTGGCCTAGTACTGTTTATCGGTTTTGAAGTTTCTTTTATTTTTTCATGAGAGAGAGGACAGAGAGACAGGTACCCTGACAGGATCTTGTCACACTGTGGTCCTCCCCAGCCTCCTGGCCAGCCAGGACTGTGTGTGGATGTGTGTGCACCCCAGGTGTTCAGATTGACTTGGGATCTGAACCTGGGCACCAGTATCGTGCAGTGGTACCCTCCAGCCGGGCCGCTGTGGCTGGGCCCGTTCAGTCACCAGCTGCTCTTCTCGGTACTTCCTCCTCCGTGTCAGCAGATGCGGTGGCAATACAGCGTCATGATTACGTGTGACTAGTGCTCTGTCACCAAGTGGATGCACTTAGTCCTAAGGCCAGTGTCTGGTCCCATGTAGAGACGGTAGAGCCATGTTCACCGAGATCACCAGCAGGTCCGGAACGGCCTCTGTGGCAGTGGCTCCTTATGCTGGAGTCACGAGCTAAGGCAGCGGGGCTGACAGGCATCTGATGAGAGAGGACAGAGCGCTCTGTTTACAGACGTTCCGATCACATACGCGGAAGGCCTAGAGAAGAATAAAATAGTTCAGCTCTGTAATAGAGTACAGAACTAACGCTGAGACACCCAGAGGACTTCATAAGCACAAGCGGTAAGCAGAGGGATCGCGGTCGGGAAAACTCATTTACGATAATAACAGTGGAGCCCTTCCAAAGTGAGTGCCTTGGGAAATGGGCAAAACCCGAGTGAGGAAAGATTCGAAGCACTCCACAGAGACAGACTTGAATCCATCGAGAGACGTGCCCTGTCCTTGGATGCGTGGGTGCCGGTGTAGTGTCAGCTCTCTAACCCAGTCTGTAAATTCAACGCACTTTCAGTAAAGACAGCCACAGAGTAGCGGATGGTGTGCGAAGGCTGATAGGCAAGTTCTTATGGGAGACGGACTTCAAGGGTCGTGAGGCATAAAACACCACGGAACCTCTGATCAGCACAGCGAGGTACTGGGGTCGGAGGGGACGGACAGACCAGTGACACAGAACAGGAAGCTGGGAATTTCAGATTTCAGATACCTCCTTTGTGGTACATAAGATTTCCATGTGTACATGTGCGTGCATGTATGATGGAGGTGGCATCTGAAATTATCGACATCTAACTTTTTTTTTTGAGAGGGTTTCGCTATAGGGCACGTGCGCTTGTCAGACAGAGAGAGACAGAGAGACAGAAAGCGAGAAATCACCCCCAGAGGGGATGGCCACGCCGCAATCCCTTCTCCTCCATTCTCCTCTCGAGATCTTGGGCACGCACGCACACGCGCCTGGAGTGAGTTTTAAGCCACCGGGTTTGGGAAGCAAACTGCGGTCGACTACATGGGAGTCCAGCGACATAGCCATTACGCTAACTGCTGGTTCCCTCGACATCTAACATTTTTTTAGAATTATTTATTTATTTATTCATTCATTTATTTTAATTTGACCAGAGAGACAGAGAGAGAAAAAGAGACAGGGAAAGTGGGAGAGCTAGCCACTAGATCCGGGACTTGAACCCTGGTCAGCCTTGTGGGAGTGTCCAATACCTTAACCACCATGCCACCTGCTGGTCCCCAAAGGCTAACTTTTTAATAAATGGTTTTGAGACAACTGGGTAGCCATTTGGATAAAGACAAAATTAGATCCCCTTCCCATAATAAACACCACATGGATTAAGAATCTAAATCTCTCTTTTTTTTTTTTTCTGAGAGGTTTTCGCTATAGGGCGCGGGCGCTCGTCAGACAGAGAGACAGAGACATAGAGACAGAAAGCAAGAAATCTCCCCCCCAGGGGGGATGGTCACGCCGCAATCCCTTCTCCTCCATTCTCCTCTCGGGATCTTGGGCACGCACGCACATGCGCCCGGCGTGAGTTTAAGCCACCGGGTCCGGAACTTGAATCGCGATTGACTACATGGGAGTCCAGTGACATAGCCATTACGCTAACTCCTGGCCCCAATTATCTGAGCTTTTAAAAGTATTTTGACTGGGACCAGCAGCCAGCGAAATGGTGACATTGTTGGACTCCCACGTGGTCGACTGCTATTCAAGTCCTAGATTTGGCGGCTTAAAACTCACGGGGGTGGGGGAGGGGGGGACAGCAGTTAGCGTAATGGCTATGTCGCTGAACTCCCACGTAGTCGACCATCGTTCAAGTCCTGCACCCAGTGGCTTAAACTCACGCCGGACGCATGTGCGTGCATGCCCAAGATCCTGAGAGGAGAATGGAGGAGAAGGGATTGCGGCATGGCCATCCCCCCTGGGGGATGATTTCTCACTTTCTGTCTCTGTCTCTCTCTCTGTCTTTCTGGTGAGCGCATGCGCCCTATAGTGAAAACCTCTCCAAAAAAAAAAAAATTATCTTTATATAACTGATCTTCTTTGTAATCCTAAGTATTTCATTTTATACATTTAAAAATGTTCTGTAATGAAAAATTTCTATAATTAGGTAATGGTAATTTTTACCATTTTAAAATGAAATCGTAGTGGGGCCAGAAAATGACATAACAGTTATGTCGCTGGACTCCCTCATGGCCAACTACAGTTGCTTGAGACTCACACCAGGTGTGTGTGTCTAAGATCCCAGGAGCATGGAGGAGAAGGGACTGTGGCATGGCCAGCTCCCCCCCCCAGGATGATTTCTCACTTTCCCTTTCATTCTGCCTCTGTCTCCCTCCCCAGCAAGCAACATGCCCTAAGGCAAGAACCTCTAAAAAGAGGATGAAATGGTAATAGCTGCACAGCTTTGTGAGCTACTGAGAACCACTGAACTGGTTTTGCACAGGGTGGGTTGGGGATGAGGATGATTCCTCTGGAAAGCTGTTAGGACAGATCCAGTTCTGTCTCGAGGACATACGCCCTCAGACTGCCAGCAGCGTCTGTGGTCTGGAAAGGCCTGCAGTCACCTTCTCTGCACTTGGAGATGTGGCCAGCCCGTTTGCTGCACAGAAACTTGGACACTTACCCCAAACCCGGGTCCAGTGTCTCCTCAAGAAAGGCCCTGCCACCCCCCCGGCCGTCCCTTCCCCGTGTGCTCTCAGGAGGCCGCCTGTCCTTGTCCCCCTACCCCGTGTGTGCTGGTGCCCTCTAGCCACCCACTGCGCCTCGTCTTTTCTCCCCAGCACCTGGGGTGGGGCCTGGCGCACAGCGTGGGCCCGACCAGTAATGGGGTGTTAGTACATAGAGGGGCGCACAGGCAGGCCGAAGGGTGGATTATGCACCTGCTTAGAGACCTCGCTTTCTTAAACGTGGGTGTTTGAGGCTGGCCTGTGATGTGGTGGTTTAGGTTGCTGGATCCCATATGACCAACCGAGTGGTTTGAGTCCTGAAAACACACTAGGCGCATGTGTGTGCCTGCCAGAAACCCCAAGAGGAGGACGGAGGAGACAGGATTGCAGGTGGCCTGGGCCCTTTGCAGGGGGTGAGCTCTCTCTCCCCCGCCCCACACCCAGTGAGTACTTGTGCCCTATAGAAAAACTTAAAAAAAAAAATTGAAATGTCAGAGTCAAAAATCAATCATGTATCGGGGCCAGCAGATGGTGTGGTGGTCAAGGATGCAGGACTCCCACATGGCCAACCGTAGTTCGAGTCCTAGACCTGGCAGCTTGCTTTCTCACTTTCCTTCTCTCTCTCTTGCTCTGTCCCTCACTGGTCAAAGTAAGATAAATAAACAAAGAGAGTTAAGTAAGATAATTCTTAAAAATTAAAAAAAAAACAAAAAAATCAATCATGTATTCAATTTTCCTTTAGGGAAATTAAAATTTAATCAGCAAAAACTAATCAACTTACTTATTTCATTATATATAAAGTATACTTCCTTAAAAACTGAGAAAAAATATTGAGACAGGAAAGATGAAGGCATTTTTGTTTTTGTTTTTTAGAGGTATTTTTTGCCATAGGGTGCGTTTCCATGCCAGAAAGAGAAAGCGAGCATTGAAGTGAGAAATGACCCCCGGGGAGGGCCACACTGCAGTCCCGTCTTCTCCATTTCCCCTTTGTGGTTTTGGGCATGCGTGCACACTCGCTCCGTGTGAGCTTTAAGCCACCGGCCCAAGATTTGAACAAGAGTTGACTGCATTGGAGTCCAGCAACATAACCATTATGCCATCTGCTGGTCCCAGAAAGAGAACAGCATTTAATGACATCATGACTGAAGAATGAAATAAGCAGCCCAGTCAGTCATCTAGAGAAGTCTCAGTGTGGCACGGCTGGAAAGACCAAGGACTTAGAGGTGTAAAGCTTCGGAGTGGGGCAGTGACCAGGTGAGGGGCAGGGTGGGAGTGCCTGGCGTGGCCACGCTCTGCCGGGTCTTAGATGAGGGGAGAGGAGGGAGACGGCACCCAGCCTGGGACAGTGGCGTGAACCCGCTCCGACATGGAAGAGCAGGTGTGTCTGGAGGAGAGGGAATGAGGCTGCTCCTGGAGCCGGTCAGCTGGACTGGCAGAGGCAGAATGGGAGAGGTTGGGGTGCTTGGGGCCCACAGGGTGGGTCGGGCTCCAGGACCACGGAGACGCTCGGCCATAACAGAAACTTGGGGTCTGGCTAATTGGTAAAGACATGAACATGTATTCACAAAGCAGAGGAGCAAGGGCAGCCGGTGTTTGGAGCCGGCTGATCTGCTCGTATTGGCTAAAAGGGTCATGCTTCATTCTGGCATCTAAACTGACCCAAGAGTGAGTACGTGTTTTGTAGAAATGTCCTCCAGTGGTGGCCTACAACACAAATGCACTTCAGACAACACCTCGTGTTCAGAGGATACAGCGTTGCCATCTTTGTTGTGTTTTTCCTGGGTAGGTTCCCACATCGTCAGCGATGCTGTCCTTCAAGACCTACTGGCTTATGTGTCTTCAAAACATTCCTATCTCAGAGATCTCCCTCCCAGGCGGCCTCCGAGGGCCGGCAGCGTGGAGTTTGCAGAGCTGGAGCGACTTCAGCCTGATGTGTTAGTCCATGCCCGTCTGAGAGTCGTCGAGGTCACTGTCCTGACAGGTAGACATTTCCAATGCCTCCTAATTTTGTCTTATAAAAAAATGAGGCTACAAGACCATGTTAGGTGCCGCGTGGTTACCACGTGTTTATCATCAGATGTTGAAGAACGGTGTCACATGGGACCGTGATGTCGGCTAAGAGACCCCTTGTCCTTCCCAGAGGCGTCCTACACTTACAGGGGACAGACGCAGAGGAAGGTCCTGGTAACCGTGGAGCAGGCCCAAGGCCAACGTTATGTGCTGGCACTGTGGGGCCCTGGAGCTGCCTGGTGCCCTCAACTTCAAAGGAGAAAAGGTAAATAGAGCAGAGAAGCATTTAACGTATTTACATTTGGGTAAATGATTGATGCTTACGAGCCTGAGATGAAGAGAGTCCTGAGATCAGACGACATTTGAAATCACAGTGATCATGATCGCATATTCTGGGATTTCTTCTGTTACCATTTTATACTTCTTGGAGCGATGGCTTTATCTAAAAACTTCTCTATAACTAATGGTGGCAAAATGAAGGTTTAAATTTATTCCCAGTTATCGTACTTTGCCTTTTTAGTGAAGATCTTATTTCCTTCAAATAATGTTTTTGAAAATTTAATTCTGGGAGCCAGCAGATGGTGTGCTAAGGCGCTAGACTCCCACATGGCCGACCACCGTTCAAGTCCCGGACCTGGTGGCTTGCTTGCTTTCTCTCTTTGTCTCCCTGTCTCTCTCATGAGTGTGTGTGCCCTATAGCGAATTAAGTAATAATAATAATAATAGATTTTTAAACATTAAAAAAAATTCTTTAAAAAATTTTAGTTCTGGAGTAGCTTCTACAATTTTCTTTTCTTTTTCTTTTTCTTTTCCCTGCCAAAGTACTGTGATAAATAAACTTCTCTCTGGCTATCAGGCAGATGTTGGGAGGTCATGCCAACTCTCAGGTCATAGTTACTGTTAAATAAATTGCCCTGTCTTAGGTTTTTATCCTAGTTATTCTTAAAGTATGGACTATTAGCTACTCACAGAATATTCATTTTTAAAATATGCATGTTTACATTTTTATTTAAAGCCTAGGTTAATAACTTGTGGTGTTGGGACCAGCAGATGGCATGACGTGAGAGACACTGGACACCCACATGGGTGACCGCAGTTCAAGTCCCAGATTGAGAGGCTTCAGACTCACGCCAGGCATGTGTGTGTGTGCCCAAAACCCTGAGAGGAGACTGGAGAAGGGATTGTGGCATGGCCATCCCCCAGGATGCGATTTCTCGCTTTCTGTCTCTCTGTCTCTCTGGTGAGCACACATGCCCTATAGCAAAAAGCTCTCTAAAAAAAAATTATATATATATATATATGGTTTATGGTGTATTGAATTACATCGAACTGATGTTTTGATAAAACTATATAATATTTTCCTTTTGCTACTGTGAAACCCTTTAGTTGGAACAAGCAGAGATACTGGGTTGTCGGAAAAGTCATGATGCATTTTTACATAGAAAAATGTAGAAAAATACACCATGACTTTTCTGACAACCCAGTAGTTTAATTAATGACTCACGAGTTATTTTTACCCCATTAAACACATTTAGAGGTTGCAGTGTATGACCCAGTAGTTTGTTTAACCTGAAGGAGTTAGTCTCGTTCCAAACTTATACCTCCCAATGGTTATCTGTAGGTAGGATCAGTCGTATCATCCCTCTTAATCATTAATAGCTTATAACTAGGATTTGAGGGAAGTCTGACTTTCGACTTTTATGTTAGGATCAAAGCATGACAGATGTTTGTTTGGTTGAGAAATTGGACAAACACGTATCGACGACAGGCTCAGCGAGCTCTCGGCCCCCGCGTGTCCAGGGCGTGCGGTGTGTAGGGCAAAGGTGCAGAGGACCCGTGCGAGGCTGGCGGCCCTGCTCCCGCCAGCGTGCTTCTACAGAGAATAGCTTCTTGGTCACCAGAAGAGAAGTTAAAGTTGTCTGCAGATAACTCTGTCCTTTTAGATTAATGTTAAGTACATGTGAATGCAGCAAATAAGATGTAGTTCTTTGTTCAGTCATTCAGTATACATCTTTTTAATTTTTTTTAAGAGAGATTTTTGCTATAGGGCACATGTGCTCACTAGAAAGAATAACAGAGACAGAGAGTGAGAAATCACCCCTCAGAGGGGATGGCCACCCCACAGTCCCTTCTCCATTCTCCTCTAGGGATCTTGGGCACGCACGCACACACTCCTGGTGTAAATTTTTAAGCCACTGGATCTGGGACTCAAACTGTGGGTGACTTCTTGGGTGTTCATCAAGGTAACAATTACGCCATCTGCTGGTCTCCAGCAGACATCTGTTTATAAATATATATTTACATGTAAGTCTGCCTAAGTACCTCAGGATCTTTTTCTTTTTTTTTGGAGAGGTTTTTCTTATCGGGCACGTGCGCTCACCAGAAAGACAGAGACAGAGAGATAGAAAGCGAGAAATCGCCCCCCAGAGGCGATGGCCACACTGCAGTCCCTTCTCCTCCATTCTCCTCTCGGGATCTTGGGCACGCACGCACACCCCCAGCGTGAGTTTAAGCCACTGCGTATGGGACTCAAACCGTAGTCAACTATATGGGAGTTCAGCGATACAGCCATTACGCCAACTGCTGGTCCCCCAGGGAAAAAAATGATCAATTTTTTTGTTTTACATTTGCCAGAATGTGTGTGTGTGCTCTCACATGGGAGAGAGAGAGAATCTCTCATGGGCAATGCTCAAGACACAATCTCTCCTCCCCTACCTCTCCCCACTTTGAGATTTTGAGCACAAACACACATACCTGGCGTTATTAAGCTGCGGATCCAGGCCTCAAACTGGATGGTCAGCCACACGAGATCCAGCCGCCTTCCCTACTACACCGGGAAATACCAGGTTTTTTTTTTTTTTTGAGAGATTTTTGCTATAGGGCATGCGCGCTCGACAGACAGACAGAGAGAGAGACATAGAGACAGAAAGCGAGAAATCACCCCCCAGGGGAGATGGTCACGCCGCAATCGCTTCTCCTCCATTCTCCTCTCGGGATCTTGGGCACGCACGCACACGCGCCTGGCATGAGTTTTAAGCCACCGGGTCTGGGACGCGAACCGCTGTCGACTACGTGGGAGTCCAGCAACATAGCCATTACGCTAACTGCTGGTTCCCGGGAAATACTAGTTTTGAAGGCTCACTGTATGAGTAATTCCACTTCCAGACGCTGTTGCATTCTGTGTATCCATTTGTCTCTTGAGAGCCTCTCTGTATTCACATTTAAATGATGTGATCAGTCATTACTGAGTAGTGGAGATAACGGGGCTGATACTTTTTAGGAAGAATAATGAGCAACACCAAATTTACACTAAAATTTTTTTTTGAGACGTTTTCACTATAGGACGCGTGCGCTCGCCAGACAGACAGAGACATAGAGACAGAAAGCAAGAAATCACCCACCACAGAGGGGATGGTCACACCGCAATCCCTTCTCCTCCATTCTCCTCTCGGGATCTTGGGCACGCACGCACACGCGCCTGGCATGAGTTTTAAGCCACCGGGTCTGGGACGCGAACCGCTGTCGACTACGTGGGAGTCCAGCAACATAGCCATTACGCTAACTGCTGGTTCGCCTAAAAATTATTTTTGATGTGTTTCTTCCAGGAAAAAAAAAAAAAGAGCTATTTCTTCCATGAGACAGACAGAGAGACAGGCCCCTCAACAAGGCTCCCACACTGATCCCCCCGGTCTCAGGGTGCACCTGGGGTGCTGAGGGAGGGCCCAGGACTGAACCCAGCTCTTTCTCACATGGTCCAGCTCACTGAGCCACCACCCGGCCCCCACATTCTGTTGAAGTAGGAACGTGGGATATCTCAGAGAGCAAGCATCGGTTACAATTTGAGTCCTTTCGAGGGTGAACCAGGGACATTACATTTCTTAGGAGTAACTGGGTAGACATAAAATAAACTACTCAGAACTAAATATCAGTCATTTTTTTTGTTTGTTTTCAGAGGTTTTACCATAGGGCATGTACACTTGCCTGAGAGAGAGACAGAGACAGTAAGAGGGAAAGTGGGAAATCAGCCCCTGGGGGCATGGCTGCACCCCCTTCTCCTCTACTCTCCTCCTGGGATCTCAGGTATGTGTGCACCCGTGCCTGGCATGAGTTTTAAGCCACCAGGTCTGGGACTTGAACCGCAGTTGGCCACATGGATGTCCAGTGACGTGACTGCTGTGCCATCTGCTGGCCCCTGGATGCCTAAACGCCGTAGGCTTCTGAAACCATCTCCTAGCCCAGGTCGTAATGAAGCGCACCTGGACTTTATTAAAATCACCGGAGTGCAGGCCGTCTGGAGCACGGGGACCCTCCACGCGGCGTCATTGAATGTCTGCACGGGGTTCGGCCTGGGTCACACCCTCAGTCACGGTGCAGCACAGAGGTACAACACGGCGTGTCTCATACCACTTTCTCTCTCTTCTTTTTAATTAAAAATTTTTTTAATTGCCAGAGGGTCACATACTTGCCAGGCATGGTCCCGCTGCAATTTCTTCTCCAGTTCTTCACCTTGTTTGGATTTGGGCTCACAGCTGGCCATGTGGGACCTGGCTTCCCCACGTGCTAGGCGCGGGCGTCCCTCCCTCAGTTTTGCTGACCTGGCCAGTGCAGGGCTCCTTCCCCCTAGCCTTCTTCCTGCCTCAGCATCGTCAGGGTGCCTGTTACTTCTCTCTAGAGAGCTTCTCTCCAACGCCCCCATACGCCACCCGCTCCTATCTAGGCTCCGACTCGTAGCCTCCGAGAGGCCTCATGTTTGGATGTACACCATCCTGGCCCATCAGGTCACCCTGTGCGTTCCCTCCCGGCTTCCTGGCTTGCTCAGTACCTGCTGGTCCCTTCAGACCGTAGGTTCTCTGAACACAAGCCCCCGGATCCCCACCTCCCTGCACTGTGCCTGCCCACTTGGTCCTTTATCAGTGAACGGATTTACAAATAAAACACGTGGGCCAGCCAGGTAGTTTGGTGGTTAAGGTGACCAGATCCCACATGGCTGACTCTGGTTAGAGTTCTGGACCTGGCTGCTTAAAACAACATGCCAGGTGTGTGCATGTGTACCCAAAATCCCGAGAGGAGAATGGGAGAGATGGGATTGTGGTGTGGCCCTTCCCCCTGGGGGGTGGTTTCTCACTTTTTCCCTCTGCCTCTGGCTCTCTGTGTGTGTGTCTCTCTCTCCCCAGCAAATGCACACAGCCTATAGCAAAACTTAAAAAATAATACAGTTCAGGCAACCATCCAACCAACTGTTTTTAAGGAGTAAGTCTGAAGAGGAAATGACTTTGTTTCAAGTGACAGAGAAATGAAGAATGCATACACATGAAGGTTTTGCAGCCCATGGGGTGGTATCAGAAACTTCGGCCTGGGCACCGAGGGCTTGTAGTTAGACCAGCACTGCCCTATGGGAGCTGAAACCACCGAGGATACCTGTCTGAGCCTCTGTAGCCCAAGGCAAGTGCCGACTGGTCTCGGCTGCGTACTGGGAGCTGAGTGGCTGCGGGGTCCCAGGTGGTCTGTGCAGCTACTCTGCTGGCTGCTGCACGCTTCGTCTGCCCGTCTGACCTCGGGGATGCAGACGGTGTTCCTCCTCAGCTTCTGGTGTTATTTTTTCTTTGAAAAGACCAGTCCCAGTGTCCAATTCCCAGCAAGGAAATCTGCCCAGACTGACTGGGTTCAGTCCACTGTGGCCAGGAAGCTGGGGTCTCACGGCGCAGGTGCTTTCGGTGGGCTGGAAACTATGGGGTTACTTGTGGTCTGGGTGGACACGGAGGGAGTCAGTGCCAGCCGTGTCTGTGCTGATCACTTGGAAAAATGTGTGATTGCCCTGTGTGTGAAAAGTAGGCTACAAAACCTCACGTCTGAGGGGACCCCGTTTTAACAAACGCACGTCTGTAAGTATGTATGTACACTTGGAAGTCTGAAAATCAGTGCATGAGAACGTGAGCAGTCGTGACCTCTGACCGCAGTACGGTGCACGGCTGCGTCTCCCTTTGTGCCTTGGGTTGGCTTTTATGTGCCCGCGAGCACCTGAGTTCCCTTAGAGACACAGAGGAGGGGAGGGACAGACAGGTGTGCGAGAGGGTGCTGAGGTGGGGCGAGCGGGAGTACCCACCAGCTTACGTTAGATGCCAGTCTCAGTGCACCTCTCAGCTCCCTTTCCTTTCCAAATATTTTGCAGTAAATATATTTTATTTTATAATTTAGAAAATCAAGGACCCAGCTCCATGGCCTGGTGGTTAAGGCAGCAGATCCCACATGCCTGACTGTGCAGTTCAAGTCCCAGCCTGGTGGCTTGAGAATCACCGGGCGTGGATAAGCCTGTGGCCCAGATTCCAGAGGGTGGAGAAGTGGACAAGAGGGAGTTGCAGCATGGCCACAGGCCGTCCGGAGGTGCTCTTCCCTCCCTTCTCCACCTCTGCCTCTGGCCCTGCACGTGCCTGTGGGGCAGGTGGAATCAAACTAAAATTTTTCTCTTCAAAAAGAAAGAGTAATTAGTGTTTAGAACATTTAGCCAACACTTTGAGAGAAAAATTGAATTAAATGTCTCTGGCCCCGCACGCGCCTGTGGGCAGGTGGAATCAAACTAAAATTTTTCCCTTCGAAAAGAAAGAGTAATTAGTGTTTAGAACATTTAACCAACACTTTGAGAGAAAAATTGAATTAAATGTATATATTGTATGTGTGCCACAGTAAATTCCAGATGTGGTAGAGGCCCAAACATAGAAAAAGGGAAACAATGAATTATAGAAGCAAATGTAAACAAATTTACTTGGAATCCAAAGATTCGAAGGTTGACTGTAGTAATGAAATCCAGCGAACACGAAACCCATCAGGTACAAAGTTAAAAGGTGAGTGAAAAATCAGAAGAATGGCATTGTTCCAGAGAATAATGTGACAGGCAGAAGACAAAATCTGTAAAGATAAATGGCAAATGGTACAAACCGGCAAGTCTCCAGGAAAGAAAGAAAGATGATGGAGAAGACGTGGAAAAAGAGCCACTCTCAAAAACTACTGGAAATGTGGGACCAGCAGATAGCGTAATGGCTGTCGCTGCACTCCCATGTAGTTGGCCACGGTTCAAGTCCTGGACCCGGCGGCTTAAACTCACGCCGGGCGCGTGTGCGTGCGTGCCCAATATCCTGAGAGGAGAATGGAGGAGAAGGGATTGCGGTGTGGCCATCCCCCCCGGGGGTGGTGAAGAAAACTATTGGAAATATAAAGAACCCTAGTGAGGACTGCTAACATAGCATATGGAAGAGTTTGGGGAGCCTTTGGCCTAGTGATTAGACATATAGGAACTTTTCATGGTTATATGTAAAGATAGAGATGTGTTTATCATGGTTTTGCTTATAATAGTGAAAAATAAAAAATAACCAAAGTGATACAAAATAGAGTATTGCTTTAATAATTTTGAAGATTTTTATCTCTGCAATGATATGGTATACTATTATACTATTTTTAAATAAGGTAGAATAATTCTTTATTTTTTTTTTTTTTTGAGAGATTTTGTTTAGGGCACATGTACTCACCAGAGAGACAGAGAAAGGCAGAGAGACAGAAAGTGAGAAATCACCCCCCAGGGTGGCCTCGCTGTAATCCATTCTTCTCCATTCTCCTATTGGGATCTTGGGCATGCACACACACGTGCCCCGCATGAGTTTTAAGCCACTAGGTCTGGGACTCGAACCACTGTCAGTCATATGGGAGTCCAGTGCTTTAACCACTGTGCTACCTAGTGGTCCCAAGGTAGAATAATTCTTAATGACATGTAAAAATATGTATACTTGACATATTAGGTAAAAATCAAATCCCAAACAACTGGTCACCCACGGAAATTTTAGCTGTGTTTATTTTAGGGTGTTGAGTTTATGACTGCTGTTTATTCATTTACTTAGTTTGGCTGTGATTTCTATTTTTTTTTTTTTTTGTAATAAGACAAGAATGCTTTTTAAGAGAGATTTTTGCTATAGGGTGCATGGACTTAGCAGAGAGAGAGAGAGAGAGAGAGAGGCAGAAAGCAAGGAATCACCCCAGAGGGGATGGCCACAGTCCCTTCTCCAGTGTCCTCTTAGGATTTTGGGCACACGCACACACGCACCTGGCGTGAGTTCGAAACCATTGGGTCTGGGACTAGACCCATGATCGACCATGTGGGAGTCCAGCGATGTAATCATAATGCCATCTGCTGGTCACAAGAAAGCTATTTTTAAAATAGTGTTTAGTTTTAAGCAGAAATTTAGAATGTGTATGTATTTTAGTTTTATCGAATGATACTCTACAGATTTACTGACTTGTTTAAAATGTCTGATGAAAGGAAAAAAGGAGATGGGTGAGAAGAGTGAATTAGATTTTTGTCTGATATATGTGGAAAACTACAAAGAACACTATTGTCAAAAGAGTTAGTACTAAAATCTGCCTTCGTTTTATTATAGTTTTAAAGTTGAATTACAGAATATAATTACAATATAATACAGAATATAATTATTTGGCAAAAAGCTCTATGTTCCTATGGTTCTAAGAGTCAGAGTTATTTCCAGAAGAAATAAAAATAGGTACCACTGTGTTTAAGTGCTTTTCGCTGTTATTCTAGAAAAACGTTAGGTGAAAGATGGCTGAGACGTTGGGATATTGATTAGAGTAGACCTATGTCTGTTTTGATGTCCTTCAAAAGAAATCTTTGCCTGCAGATAACGAAATGAGAATTTGCTACACTATAAAGCAGTTGGTTATATTAAATCAAGACTATTTAGGAGACCAGGAAATCTTTTTATTTTTTATTTTTTCTTCTTTTTTTGGAGAGGTTTTTGCTATATGGCGCGTGCGCTCGCCAGACAGACAGAGAGAGACAGAGAGACAGAAAGCAAGAAATCACCCCCCGGGGGGGGGATGGTCACGCCACAATCCCTTCTCTTCCATTCTCCTCTCGGGATCTTGGGCACACATGCATATGCACCCGGCATGAATTTAAGTCACCGGGTCCGGGACGCGAACCACAGTCGACTACATGGGAATCCAGCAACATAGCCATTGTGCTAACTGCTGGTCTCGGAGACCAGGAAATCTTTAGAAAAGATTTTATTAGAATTACTTTTATCAGGACCGACAGGTGGTATGGTGGTGAAGGCTCTGAATTTCCACGTGGTCTACCGTGTTTCCGGCCGCTTGAAAATCAAGGGGGGGTTGTGTGTGCGTGTGTGTGAAGGAGAAAGGCTTGCGGCGTGGCCATCCCCTCTGGGGGGTGATTTTCCACTTCCCCCCTCTCTGTCTCTCTCCAGTGAGCTATCGCAAAAACCTAAAAAAAGAAAAATAAAAAAATTGTGATCCTTATCCTGTTGCCGTAATGCATATATTGTCTCTTGGTACCCACATTCTTTTTTTTACTGAAATAGATATGATTTATTTATAAATGAAAACAAATGAACAATTTACAGTATCTCAAAGGTTGAAAAAAGTGACACAGTACTAAATACACAACTTTTGATTTTCTTCAGATTCAGTGTTTATGGGTTTTTGTTGTTTTATCATTTTCCTACAGGGTGTGTGCACTTGCTGGAGAGACAGAGCAAGCACAGCGAGTGCACTCCCCAGGGGGAGGCCACAAGACAGTCCCTTCTCCTTCATGCTCCTCGCAGGATTTGGGGAATGCACACACACAGGCTCAGTGTATTTCTCAAGGTACCAGGACTAGGACTCAAACTGTGCAGTCAGTCACATGGGATCCAGACATTTTAACCACCATGCAATGACTTCGCCTGTGTTTTGTGATTTAATTATAGAAAGATGAGTCAGTTCTGCAGCCTAAAAATATTTACTTATTAAAACTATACCAGTACTTTAATCAACTATATGAAAAAGATAATGAGACAGACATGTGCATTTATAGAACTGCGTATCAGTCAGGCCAGATCCCTGCGGAGGGAATTCCTGCATAACCTCGCTCATCTGTGAGGACACAGAGCAGTCCTTGTTCGGACGGGCACACTCATCTAACTTGTCTGGCGTGGTTCTTCAGTGACAAAATTTACATCTAACTGATTTAATCAAATCAACTACTCAATCTACTTGTTAACCTAGACTTTTTCTTTTTCATGACTTGTTTTTGTTTTTGTTTAAGATTACATTTGGGAATTTAAGTATCTTTTCGTTCAGCGCAACTGCATACTAGAGAGCTTAGAGCTGCATACCACGCCGTGGTCGTCCTGCGAGTGCCTGTTCGATGATGATACTAGGGCAGTTTCCTTCAAAGAACATTTTCAGAAAAGTGTATCCTCCCCTGTGAAGATTTCAGACTTAGCAACCCACCTGAAGGATAAGTGTTCAGGTAAGATTTTTATGAAATATTGCTGGTTTTAATATAAGAAGCTACCATTTGTGAGAAATAGATATAATTCAATACAGAAATGAAATACAAATCTTTGCAAAGAGCTGAACCAATATCAGCAGCTTCTTAGCTTTAAAATTATTTAAATTTAATTCCGTTTGCTGTTACTATTATTATTTTTTGTAATTTGGCCACAGAGAGACGGAGAAAGAGAGAGAAAGGGAAAGTGAGAAAGCAAGTTGCCAGGTCCAGGACTTGAACCGTGGTCGGCCATGTGGGAATCCAGCACCTTTAAACCACACACAACCTGCTGGCCCGCTTCTTAGGTTTTTATCTCCAATCCTTTGAGGTTAATTTGTTTGTTAGGAATCAAGTGAAAATACTGCTTGTGGGGCTCAGCCGTGGGCAGTGTCGTGTGCTGGACTGCAGTCTCCAGGGCATACTAGGCCGCGGGGCACAGTCCTGCTTGGCCTGAAAATGGCGCACTGGGAGCCCGAGATCCTGGGGAGTGGGAGTAAAAACTTGTGCGTGTGTGTACAGTTACCAGCAGCAGACGCTGAGTGCTCATCTAGACATGGCGGTTAAAGACTCGGCACCGATGGAGAAGCTGTGCGCGTGGCTCAGTGCTCTGTAAAGACCCACATTCTTTTTTTTTACTGAAATAGATATGATTTATTTATAAATGAAAACAAATGAACAATTTACAGTATCTCAAAGGTTGAAAAAAGTGACACAGTACTAAATACACAACTTTTGATTTTCTTCAGATTCAGTGTTTATGGGTTTTTGTTGTTTTATCATTTTCCTACAGGGTGTGTGCACTTGCTGGAGAGACAGAGCAAGCACAGCGAGTGCAGTCCCTTCTCCTTCATGCTCCTCGCAGGATTTGGGGAATGCACACACACAGGCTCAGTGTATTTCTCAAGGTACCAGGACTAGGACTCAAACTGTGCAGTCAGTCACATGGGATCCAGACATTTTAACCACCATGCAATGACTTCGCCTGTGTTTTGTGATTTAATTATAGAAAGATGTGTCAGTTCTGCAGCCTAAAAATATTTACTTATTAAAACTATACCAGTACTTTAATCAACTATATGAAAAAGATAATGAGACAGACATGTGCATTTATAGAACTGCGTATCAGTCAGGCCAGATCCCTGCGGAGGGAATTCCTGCATAACCTCGCTCATCTGTGAGGACACAGAGCAGTCCTTGTTCGGACGGGCACACTCATCTAACTTGTCTGGCGTGGTTCTTCAGTGACAAAATTTACATCTAACTGATTTAATCAAATCAACTACTCAATCTACTTGTTAACCTAGACTTTTTCTTTTTCATGACTTGTTTTTGTTTTTGTTTAAGATTACATTTGGGAATTTAAGTATCTTTTCGTTCAGCGCAACTGCATACTAGAGAGCTTAGAGCTGCATACCACGCCGTGGTCGTCCTGCGAGTGCCTGTTCGATGATGATACTAGGGCAGTTTCCTTCAAAGAACATTTTCAGAAAAGTGTATCCTCCCCTGTGAAGATTTCAGACTTAGCAACCCACCTGAAGGATAAGTGTTCAGGTAAGATTTTTATGAAATATTGCTGGTTTTAATATAAGAAGCTACCATTTGTGAGAAATAGATATAATTCAATACAGAAATGAAATACAAATCTTTGCAAAGAGCTGAACCAATATCAGCAGCTTCTTAGCTTTAAAATTATTTAAATTTAATTCCGTTTGCTGTTACTATTATTATTTTTTGTAATTTGGCCACAGAGAGACGGAGAAAGAGAGAGAAAGGGAAAGTGAGAAAGCAAGTTGCCAGGTCCAGGACTTGAACCGTGGTCGGCCATGTGGGAATCCAGCACCTTTAAACCACACACAACCTGCTGGCCCGCTTCTTAGGTTTTTATCTCCAATCCTTTGAGGTTAATTTGTTTGTTAGGAATCAAGTGAAAATACTGCTTGTGGGGCTCAGCCGTGGGCAGTGTCGTGTGCTGGACTGCAGTCTCCAGGGCATACTAGGCCGCGGGGCACAGTCCTGCTTGGCCTGAAAATGGCGCACTGGGAGCCCGAGATCCTGGGGAGTGGGAGTAAAAACTTGTGCGTGTGTGTACAGTTACCAGCAGCAGACGCTGAGTGCTCATCTAGACATGGCGGTTAAAGACTCGGCACCGATGGAGAAGCTGTGCGCGTGGCTCAGTGCTCTGTAAAGCGTAAACCGGACTTCTTGAACTGACGTGCGTGTGTGAAGTTCACCCTCGGAAGCATGCTCCGTGGAGAGTGCCCGCAGTGACGGCTTTTACACACGTACTCACTCGCTTTCTTCTGATAGAGTACACCCGAAGTGACTGATCGTGGAGGAAGTGGCAAGAATAGGTTTTAGGTTCAAAGGCCGTGGACTTTGGGATGGAGAGTGAGTTCAGTAGGGAAAATGCTAGATAATTATACGGCGTTAGCAGGGAGCATGTTTCAGCAGATTGCAGTGGACGTCTATCTACAAAGATAATGCTGGGAAGATGATGACAGATAATGATTAGATTAGATAATGCTAACTCCTACCTTGAGGAGTAGTGAATTAAATAGCATTTAACACTGTATTTCTGGTAGCTAAATGCCAGAAATCAGTAAATGCTTTTCAGTGGTTAAAGGGCGATACCAGTTTTGGAAATGAATAGAAAGTTAGTAAGCCATTAGAGCGGATGCATTTAGGGTTGAAGAAAATGGAATGTATCCATAGGTTTATTTTGTTACGTAATTTGAAATTTTTTTGGGGGGGGGATTTTTGCTAGATGGCGTGTACGCTCACCAGACAGACAGAGACAAAGAGACAGAAAGCGAGAAATCACTCCCCCAGGGGGGATGGGCAAGCCACAATCCCTTCTCCTCCATTCTCCTCTCGGGATCTTGGGCACGCACGCACACGCGCCCGGCGTGAGTTTTAAGCCACCGGGTCCGGGACACGAACCGCGGTCGACTACATGGGAGTCCAGCGACATAGCCATTACGCTAACTGCTGGTTCCCATAATTTGAAATTTTTAATAAAGAAAATAGTTGGTCAGGAACTTTTCTCAGAATTTGTATATGATTACCATTTTTGGTGCTTGTCTAAGCTAAGTTATTAAGCATAATTCAGAAACTTTACATCCTGACACCAAATTTTAACTGTATTCTTCCACTTACACAAATAATTTTCTGAATTGTTTTTGTTTTTGTTTTATTGTTTGTGTTTTTTCTGGAGAGGTTTTTTCTATAGGGTGCATGCGCTCACCACACAGACAGATAGAGACAGAGAGACAGAAAGGGAGAAATCCCCCTGGAGGGGAGGCCACGCCACAATCCCTTCTCCTCCATTCTCCTCTCGGGATCTTGGGCACGCACGCACACACACCCAGCATGAGTTTAAGCCACCAGATCCGGGACTCAAACTGCAGTCGACTACATGGGAGTCCAGCGACATAGCCATTACACCAACTGCTGGTCCCAATTTTCTGAATTCTTACATGGGTTTAGATTTTATAAGAAGCAGAGCCAGCAGGTGGCGTAGTGGCTAAGGTGCTGGACTCCTGTGTGGTCAGCTGTGATTTGAGTCCCAGATCTGGCAGCTTGAAACTCACACCAGGCATGTGTGCATGTGGTTCCAAATCCCGAGAGGACAGTGGAGGAGAGGGGATTGTGGCATGACCATCCCCCAGGGTGATTTCTTGCTTTCAGTCTCTCTGACAAGCACATGTGCTCTATAGCCAAAATCATTCAAACAAAACAAAATAAAAACGAACTCTAGATTTTATAAAATGGTACACATAGACTACATGGAATAAGGTTTTAAAATTCTTCTAATGAAAAGAATCTAGTCCAAAATGAAGTAAACCGGAACTCCTAAGAGACACTGTGCTACTGGTGCTGGCAGGTGGCGTGGTGGTTAAGGCACTGGACTCCCACATGGCCGACCGTGGTTGGAGTCCCAGACCTAGGAGCTTACTTTCTCACTTTCCCTCTCTCTCTGTCTCTCTCTGGTAAGTGCACATGCCCTATAGCAAATTAAACAATAGGAACCAGTAGATGGCGTAATGGTTATGTTGTTGGACTCCCATGTAGTTGACTGCGGTTTGAATCCTGAACCTGGTGGGTTGAAACTCATGCTGGGTGTGTGAGCGTGCATGCCCAAAATCCCAAGAGGAGAATGGAGGAGAGGGGATTGTAGTGTGGCAATCTCCCTGGCGGGGTGATTTCTAGCTTTCTGTCTCTCTGGCAAGTGCATGTGCCCTATAGTAAAAATCTCTCTTAAAACAAACAAACAAGGGGACCAGCAGTTAGCGTAATGGCTATGTCGTTGTACTCCCATGTAGTCGACTGCGGTTTGCGTCCTGGACCTGGTGGCTTGAGACACACGCCGGGCGTGTGCGTGTGCGTGCACAAGATCCCGAGAGGAGAATGGAGGAGAAGAGATTGCGGCGTGGCTATCCCCGCTGGGGGGTGATTTCTTGCTTTCTATCTCTTTGTCTCTCTCTGTCTGTCTGGCAAGCGCACGCACCCTATAGCAAGACCTCTCCAAAAAAACCCCCCCAAAAAAACAACAAAAAAAAAAACCCCAAATAAATAAATAAATAAACAAACTTAAATGAATAATTCTTTCTTTTTAAAAAAAGAGATCTCATGCTGAGATTCTCAGGTGTACTCCTGGGATGTTTTTTCCGCATGCTATGGGCTCCCCCATTTGGTACAGACAGAGAAATATTTTT